TCCTTCCGTTCGGGTCGGGTCGGAGGTCGTGCCCCGGAATGCAACTCGGGTTGTACGCGTGTGAGATGGCAGTGGCGAATCTTCTCCACTGTTTTAATTGGGAGTTGCCTGACGGAATGGGAACCGAAGAACTCGATATGAACGACTCGTTCGGACTCACCGCTCCGAGAGCGGTTCGACTCGTTGCCGTTCCGAGTTACCGGCTTAACTCGCCGGAGTTCGAACTCCGAGGCAAGAGATGGGAAGATAATGAAATCAATTGAAAACCACAATCGTTGTAGAATCGGATGAAAAGAATTTTCCTTTCCTTTCTTTTTTCTAATTTTAACTTTTTACAAATAATAATCCTTTTTTTGATTATAATTACGAAAGAGATTTGATATTTTTTTGCTTTTTGTTTAACTTTTATGTTGATTTTAAATTTCAATGGTTTTAAAAGGTAGGTTAAATTATACAGATGTTCTGAATTTTTGGATATATATAAACTTTTAATTCTAAAATTATAAAGATGTAAGCAAATACATTATAGGATAAAGATTCAAATTATCACCCCTCCCTCTATTATGGTAACATTATAAAAATAATTTATCGTATAATGATTTATTATAGAATTAATTTGAAATAATTCTTTAATAATTCATTTAATAGAAATTTGCTATAGTATGCCTTTTTATTTATTTACCTTATAAATATATTTGGATTATATGCATAAGACCATACGTGGGAATATGTGTTTATTCCGAGCAGATCCAAGTTTGAATTAAATAATTAGCAGCAAAAAAAAATTGTTGATAAGGACTAAAATATTGTACCTTATAAAAAATTTAAAGACTAAAATATGACATCTTGAAGCTAGAAACCAATTATTTCGAAATAAATAAATAAAAGCCAAAATCAAAATATAACATTCAAGAGACAAAAATAAAATAAGTAAAATTATAAAAGTCGATAGAATTTTGGGCAGTTTATATTTTTAGCCCATAAATTTGAACATATTCTCATTGGTTCATGAGTTTCTATAAACTAAAAACTCCCACAAAATAAAATTCTCGTTTCCTCCGAAATTGCAAATAATGAATAATGCTTTCAATTATATAATAACATTAAATCTTACCAGTCATTCCATCGTAATTTCATAATAATGCTTTAACAAATATTTCATTTCACTAATTAAGACAAATATAACTTCAGACTAAAAAGTTCTAAAAAAGAAAATAAAAAATTTCAGATGATGCGTTGTCACTAGTCACTAACCTCAGAAAGGAGGAAAATGGAAATAATAATAAAAATAGTTAAGACCAATCGATTATATATGACTGTAAATATTTTATTACAATACTTCTGTTTTTGTAGACATTTTCCTTCCAAATATGTGTGAATAAAACTATTTATTATATATTTAAGGACAATTTCTATATATTTAATTATTTGTATTTAAAAAAAAAAGAAAAGAAAAGAAAAGAAAAAGGGCATTGGAAAGAAACCCGGTTGCAATTCCTAGTCTCTCCGTTTTTATTAATTACAAATTTAGTCGTAATTTCATATTGTTTTAATTTCAGAAAAAAAGATTAATAATAAAAAATAATTCCTTTATAGGAGCAAATTCATTTGATAAAAAGAAAAACAAAATAGAAAGTTTTCTATCCAACTGTACATTTTCTCCACAAAATTTTTGTATTAGGACAAAAGTATAAGTTTATTAAAGACATAAATATAACACATGAGAATATAAACTAATACCATTCCTAAAAATATTTTTATAAATCCCTAAATAGATATTCAAGTTATAGTGTTGCTGCTTTTCTGTATAATAAACAAAATTCCTCAAAATAAACTGTCACTTTAATGTTATCATAACAATCAGGTATAAACAAATAAATCTTAATAAAAAAAATTACAATACTAATTCTGATAATAGAATATTGCTTTGAATTTTGTTGGGAAAAAAATAAGATAAAAAAGTTATGTTTTTGATTCAGTGGAGAATAAATCTTATAGTAAGATTCGAATGACAGCAAGACCCACAGCAGAAATTGAAACAACTGTACCTATGCAGTATTTAATTACATCATATTTGGCGGCTTCTAATTGAGCTCTTAAGGCATGAATTTCCTATACACCAAATAAAAAAAATAAATAAATAAGAACAGACATGAAACAATTAGAGTCTCGTGAGAGAACTTTTAAGCAATCAAGCTTACCCGATCGAGCTTATTGGTTAGATTGGTGGTTTCGGCGTTTTGATCAGCAAGTTCATCTCGTATGCGCCTGCACTCAAACCCGAACAATAAAAATGAGTTTGACATAACTTCTAGAATGATTTTGATAGGCCCCAATGAAGAAAGTGTATTCGAGAAAGAGAGAAACTCGGGGGGTAAGAAAATAGAATGTGGGTTAGTAGGCGCTGGTACGGGTATTTTGTAAACAGGAACCCACGGTAGAAGGTAGAGGTATCTTTACGTCATTTTGTCTAAGGACTGTTTGGAAGAGATTCGGGAGCTCTCTAATTCTCGCCCATTGTAATGCCTTTTAAGAGAGTTCTATCAGATTTCTAACTACTTAAAGGTGAAGTGCTTTCCCAAGGGTGGATCTTATGGATAAAAGGATTAATATCCCTTAATTAGGGAAAACATATTTCATTACACTCCAAAATGCACAAATATTGTTGAAATGAGAAAATTTCTGCCTTACCCTTTTTCAAGATTTAAATCTAAACGTTGTCCAGCAGTGACTTTATCAATCTCGTATCTGTTTCAACACATAATATATATGTATAAGATTAGAAAGTTCAAGATTAGCATGATAATTAAGCATTATGAGGCAAACCTTAATTCACTACGCATCTTCTCTATGTCACTTCTAAGTTTTTCGGTCTCTCGTTGTAACATTGAAAAGTGATGCTCCTACGGAAAGAAAAATTATCGAAAGAACTTCAATTGAAGAACAAACCTATCACTTAGCGAAAATTTTAAGTTCTATTTTTTCACAACATTTTAATTGTCTTATATAAGAAGAAATAGAGACGAGTACAAAAAAGGAGCGTTTTTCTATAGTCTAATACTGCACAACAAGTCCACAACTATACTAGTGAGGAAAAAATACTATCAAATTTAAACCCAATACCATTTCAACTAGGGGTATAATTGCTTCTTTAATTATCTATCAATTTCGATTATCCATAAACTAAAGTTTTACTATTTTTAAAACTCAAGGAAAGGATATAGTAGTACAACCTATAGAACAAATCCTATTCAAGTAAGGTGGCCCAAAATTACTTACTATTACTAATGGATTTGTATTAGACCAGGTGGTTCGTTCCAAATTTGCCAGCAAATTGATATGAAATAACCAAAATTTCAAATTCTAAAGCTAAAAAAATTTCAAAGTATGCATAGAAGGCAAAGATATCGGGACATACCTAAACAATCCCTCGATCGATACAAGAACTGGTTAGACCAAAACACCTATTCTAATCTAACATATAAAAAGAGGACAAAGAAAACCTCATCTCGACCGCATTAAACAAGATTCACCATGAAAAGGTTCTGAATCATATGTTCAATGAAAGAGAATTTAGAGAAGTACAAAAATCTCAAAAGTTTCGAAAAATCTGTATCCATAAATACCTGTGAACTTTGCACTTGAGATTTAAACTTCGACAAATTAGATTCTTGAACCATCTCAGACTGCAATATCAATATGTCATCAATGATCAAATAAATCAATCATTATTCATAGATTCTATGTTTAGAAGATCACAAAATCAATCTTAAAATGCAACCAAGATAGGCATAAAAGAAATATTAAGATATAGTTATCTTACCTTTTGCATTTCTGCTTTTGAAACAAAGGAATGGGACACATTTTCCAAGCTATCGTTTAAAACTTCAGTGATAGCAGCAGTTATAGCCTCGGCTTGCTTTGATGGCACGTCCTTTGCTTCTAAGCCTCTCACCTACAGGTAAGAGTATAATTTCTGCATATTATGACCATCTTAGAATAACAATCAAAGTCTATTCATAACTATTGACTAAGAATATCAAAAGTAACACAATTTAGTTACAAAATCAATGCACAGAATAATCAAGTTGCTATAGAAATAGAACTGAACGGCAATAAAAGATTTTCCATATGGAAACATAGGAGCAAACTAAATTTCATGAGCCTTCATTACAACAAAAACTCCTCAATAGAGTTCAATTTCCCAAAAAACAAAAATTCTAAATTCGTTTTTCTTGGAAATTTTAGTTTTATAATTCATTGAACGCACCTTGAGAATACCTTTTATGGCGATTCTTCAAAGGGAAACTTGGTAAAAATTACAACACTAATTCAAGTTTAGTCAAAGATTGCAACACAAGAGTAAACGTTGATACACCTTCTCCCCAAAAAAAAAAAAAATCAAAATGTCTACAGAAATAGAACTGAATGGCAAATAAAATATCTTCCAAATGAAATCACAGCAACAAACTAAATTCCTCACAGAAACTCATAAACAGAGTTCAAACTTCCAAATAAATAATAAACAAAAAACAAGTAAAAAAACTTTACCAGCGCCAGTGTATCCACAAGAAATGCCCGGTTTCCGTTGGTTGATTTCGCGAGCTGCGAAATCTGCCTACAAGCGAATCCATAAGTAGAAGAATTTGAAGACAAAACCAACGCCCTAACCTTCGGTAAAGGCGCACGATAAGCCATCTTCTTTACTACCAAAAAAAGAAGCCAAAATACAGATGAATTGAAATCAAAACGGACTATAAAGGCCAATGAATCGAATCAAAAACAGTGTGGAAAATGGCGGAAGGCGAATCAGAGTTGACCGAAAACGCCTAAAAGAAATGGAAAAGGAAAAAGGGCAACGCGTTGAATCGACGACGAGTTTCTCAGAGTTTGAAAAGAAAGTCCAATGGTAAAACGTTGAGAAGCTCCATTGCGTTTTCTTGGGGAAAGGGTTTTGGTCCGGTTCGGTTCGATTTTTAAGGTGGACTGAACTGGCTGAGGGAACTGCCACCGTCCCACGTGCCTGCTACATTGGGCTGGGCTTATTCGCTGAAACGAAATCGTGGGCTGGCCTTGGGCTGCTATTAGGCCCATGCAAGAATTTTAACCGTTTTTAATAACTAAATCACTTTTTCAACTACGTCAATTTGGAAAATATACTTTTGGAATAAACTTTCCAAGAAATTTGATGTTTTTTTATTTTGTATTTTGACTACAACACATAGGGATAAGAATTTAATTCAGGATATTTTAATCGCAAATAAGTGCTTTAACTCGTTGAGCTATGTTCAGGTTGACAAACTTTACGTATTTGGTAACTAATTTTTCAAAATTCTCAATTTATTCTTCGATATCTATTATTAAAAAGTTTTTATATATCATGACTCACATCAATCTCATTTCATCATTTCTTAAAAGCATAGCTTAATTGGCTAAGATATATATCTTCGACTACAACGTTGTGACTTTAAAAACTCACCTCAACATGTTATACTAAAAAAAAATCTTATTTGTCTCCTTCCTCCAACCCGTCTCCTTCTCTCCCTCCCCCAAGATCTAATATGAGGGAGGGGCACACCGAGACCTGAAATAAAACTACACAATTTTGCATGTTTTGTTTCTTGCTAATATATGCTAATTACAACTATAAGTCAATCCATTACATGCAATTGGTTTTTATGAACCCTCAGCATATCCATGGTGTTTTATGATAAAATAGATGGTAAAATAAATTTATTGATGTCTATTTGGTTACGAGGTTATAAAATGACATTTTAGTCATTTGAATTTGAAAAACTGTTTTAAATAGTCTGAAAGTCTTCCTCCTCATTTTCTATCACTCGCCACTCGCCATGTTTAAATTATATATTTTTATTAAAAAAAATAGCATTTATATTATTTACTGTTTAAATAATTAATAAAATAAATATATTGATTTTATAAATAACTTAACTGAAAATTTTAATTTCTCAAAAAAATGGTTGGGAGAAAGAAAGGTGATAGGTGGAGAATTTAGTTTATACAACTTCATCATGTACGAGAATAAACATGCAAAAACTATCATCTTGAAACTATTCCCATCAACAATCTTAAATATTAAAAAAATAAAAAATTCAAATATACCGAAAAGTCATAGTATTATTTAAAAAATCAATTTTCACAAAAGTGCTATGGAATAAATCTCTTCATTTGGAAACACACTATCTTCTTAATCCATTTTCAAACACACCTTACAACCTCTCTAGAATCATATTATTATACCAAGCACACTCATTTTGAAACCTAAATTATGTGATGTGATTGTGAATTGATTTAATTTGATAAAATTATTTTGTTTTCAAGACCTCCCATAATAGAGAACTGCGAAAGTATCACATGTATAACATTAACAACAGGAGGTTATACAAAGAAAAACTCTCAATGGTGATAAGACTATACAAAATTAATTGCTCTCTAATGGCTGTCAAATATCTAACTTCTAATTGTGCATGTAATCACAAGAAGCTCCTTTCTTGCAATGTCCACTTTCATGGTACTTGCACACTCTTTGACCTTTATAAGGAAGCCTTGAAGAACTTCCACCACCACTACCACCACCATAAAATGGCTGCTGCATCCCCCAGGATTTACCTCCGTTACCGGGATCTCCGCCGTGAGAGCCACCGTCCTTCTGGTTCGAGAACCTATCCCCATTTTTACCATGTTCATTACCCCACATGCCCTGGTTCGAGGATGGGGCGGACCAATTGGGATTCACATTCATAGGTGGCATTGGTCCGAGGCTGGGGGCGCCCCATCCCGGAGTTGGGTTCACAGGAGGTGGCATCGGTCCGTGTCCTGGCCATCCTTGAATGGCATTTTCGGTTGGTGGCCCTTGACCTGGTGCAGACCAACCTGGGTTTGTACCTGCAGGAGCAGAACTTGGAGCAGCAGCTCTCCACATCATACCAGCACCAGCATTCGGAGGTGGTGTTGCACCCCAACCCATGTTTGGATTTCCTGATGGCATTGGCCCCCAGCCTTGGTTTTGAGACTCCAAGCCGGGCCGTGGAACAGTACTCTGACCTTCCGGAGCTCCCATTCCCCAAGAAAGATTGGGCGGAGTCGAAGACTGAATGTGAGGCTGGTTACTGGGCATAGGAGGTGTAGAACGCCAAAGGTCGGAGGATGGATAACCGGTCAAGCCAGGCGTGGAGAAACTCCCTGTCGGAGTTCCTGCACTGAACGATGTCGCAGCAGCATTCTGCACAGGGGACATCTCCCCCCAACGACTGTGAGGAGGTTGTGCTGGCAGCATGCTAGAAGAAATGTTTGGTTCAACTTTGAGTGATTTTGCATTTTCCCAGGACTGCAGTTCATTTCCTAACATAGAGACCGAATTACTCATTTCCCGCTTCAGAATGGAACCAGAACCGTGTCCTTGAGTTTCGATGTGAGGATTACGATTACTGATGGATTGTACTAAACTTTGAAGATTCGCGCTAATGCTTTTAATATCTGCAGCTGCCTTGACAGAAGCATCATCAAGGATAGTTGATGGCCTTGCTGGCTGAGAATGATTTTGATATGTATTTATAGAACCTAAACCCATGCCCTTTTCTGCTGAATTCATGCCAGAATGTGACCGCAAGGAATCCTTCTCGGCCCCTTGCAAACCGCCATTACCTCCTGAGAGTGAAAGTGTTCTTGCTTCCAAGAACGACGCAGCCACTTGAAATGGCTGCTCCTTTGTTCCTCCTGGGCTGGGAGTAGGAGAAGGAAGACTTGTGAAGTTTTTATTACCATGGTCAGAAGACCATCTCTCTCCCGAGTACCTGGGGACTTCTATCGAGGCCGAGGCAGGCCTCTCTCCCGAGTACCTAGGGGCTTCTATCGAGGCCGAGGCAGGCCTCTCTCCCGAGTACCTAGGGGCTTCTATCGAAGCTGAGGCAGGTCTACCAGTAGGACTAACTTCATTTTGAGATTTCCATCTTCCTCCAGAAGAATGGCCAAAAGAAATTGGATTATTAAGTGGATTTGAGGTACCAGTATTCTGACCATCCATACCTAACTGTGAAGTGGCTCCCTGAGGCTTCCCACCAACAAATGAAGAAGCATGATGCGTAGGCATTTGAAAATTGTTATCCGACGTGTCCTTTAGGATCTTTCCTGCTAAGACATCAGTCAGAAGTAGGGAGTCATCTTGCTTGTCTGAGGTTCTCCATACTCTCAAGTCAGCAGGAAAATAACCAGTGTTACTCCACTTGCGCAGTTGCACCATCGAAAATGGTCCCTGCACTTTCCCGGATGGATCTTGATAACGCCATATCTTCTCTGATTCATTAACAATAGCGGCATTTTGTGTAGTGCCTACAGATGGAGATGCTGCTGGATTTACTGAATGAGCGGCAGAAGACGACTCAGATGCTGCCCCAGACAAGGCATTCCTAACAATGATTTCTGAACTAGGTGAAACTTGTTGCTTGTCCCACTTGTTTATCTTTTTAACATCTCTTTCTCTTCCTTGACTCCAAGAATTTTCATTTATTATTTCGCCAGAACCAATGGCATCATCGCCTTGGGCAGAGAAGCCTTTGCCAGACCTGCTCAAGTCCCGATTCGTGTTGGAAAAGTTTCTCATCCCGCTCCAGGAATCATTCAAATTTGAACCTCCTTTCCCAGGAGAAACCGGATCCCTCGTCCTCCTGCCAAAGCTTGTGCTTCTTGGCAAGGCATAGGTTTCTGCATGAAACGGATGATGTTAAACTTGCTCGCTAAAGGAAAATAAATGTGAATTCAATCACAAAAGATGTAAAAAACCTGGTCTCTTATCATCTGTTTCATCCTCATCATCAGACTCATGACTCGGATCCATGTTAGGGTCGGTATGTATTTCTGGTATTTCCTCCAGTCTACGCTGCCGCTCCTCAGGTGTCTTCAAAAGCTGTAGTTTCTCAACACATTCTCTAAGCGTTGAGAGAAGTCAAGGAAAGTAATCATAGAATTCTCAATCATTAAGAGTGTTCATCAAAATAAACAAGAAATTGTGAACAATTTATGTCTTTATTCTAGTAGTTGCACACTAAAGGATTATATAGTGATCTTCAATATGAATATAATCTCTGTAATTTGACAGTTCAACCCCATGACTTGCAAATGTTATCTTCCAATGTAAGTGCAGTACCTCTTCAGGAAAAGAAAGAACCTAGAGTACTCATACAAATACATAATGAAAAAGATTATTTTTCTCTCAATGTGCGATGGGAGCAGGCTTATCATTAATCAACCAAAAGAAGAAAATCATACATAATTCAACAAAATATTGAGAAAAGGATATTCCTTCCTGCGCCCTTTTTCACTTGCTCGATCACGGAGATGACTAAGTCGGACTATCTCGGTTTCCATCCACTAGAAGGGAGACATACAAAGAAATAGTCAACTAAAAAATAATGAAGCTGTATCTGAAATAGATATCAATAAATAGTTTGTTCTAAACATATAAACTATTTATAATATGCAACATGTGCCAACTTGACCAGTAAGATGAGTTTGTTCTCATCTCCCAAAAAAAATTTAACAAAAACGAGATGCCAAGAAATTATTCTTCTTTTACATATGAAGCTTTTTGGTAACATACTAGCCATTGTTGTTACTGATTAATTTTATAACATAGTGCAAATGAACAATCTAACATCACCCCCATTTCTAGCTTCTTGCTCTAAATTCTCAAATAAGTTGATGCACGACAAAGTGGACCACTACCTCCCAATTAATCTTAGCTTCCCAATATCTTTTAGTCACTTTACATTATGACAATGTTATCTCTACTTAAACTCTTGGTTGCTTGAGTTCTTATACCTAATAAAGGGGAACAAAAAAAGAAGAAGAAAATAAAGAGCCTAGGAGTCGTAAATTGTTTGACAAAAAGTAGCACATACTCAAGAGGCCATCTCAGTACAAGCATTAACTCCAAATGATTATGGTTAGATGAATTTTGTTTTTCCTCTACAAATAAAACAATAGAAAAATAGACGCACTCTGATTGATATTCATAGTGCAGATGTACTAAACTGCATGCATAAGTCACATGGCAGGTAATGAACCAGACAAGATATAAACTAGCAAGTAAATGAAATTACTACAATGATAACAATAACATTTTTAATGGATATTTGCATCTTAGATTGAAGGCATATTTATTTCCTCGGTAAACTGGTCGAACATTAAAATTTAAAACACGAAGTTGATAATATTTCCCTTCAAAACATGCATGCATGTCAAACTATTCCAGGATCAAATATATCAAATACATATATAAATAGATCCATACACCTCTAACATTGAGAAAATGCAGAATAGTTAACAATCAAATACTTACATCTTTGACTCTTGCATCTTGAAGCGACATTGCTCTCTCTTGAAGGTCGCCCTAGCAGGGGGAGTTGATATTTTAACAAAGCTTGAATAATATTAAATAGAAGACAAAAAGAAAGAAAAGCAAGATTACCACAGTCAGACGGTTAAGAATTCCACACTTCATGCTCTGTCGAAGACGCTTGCACTCCTCCTGAGCACCCCCCATCACCCACGGAAAGGGGAAAAAGTACAAACAAAAATTAAAACCAAAAAAGAATGCAAATTGTTGGTGCCCAAAAGATCATGGCAATCAAGTTCTAAGAAGATATTCAAGCATTAAATTAGTATTAAAATTACCTCCGTGAACTCTTGATTTGAGATAATATCAATTGAAATCACTTCTGTCTTGTTCAAATTCAAGATCTCTAGCATGATATTTGTCATTTTTTTACCAACTTTATATGGCTCAGATGCTTTGCTTGTACCTGATAACATCAATAACTTAAAACGTTATTTTTATTACCTTTTTATAAGAAGCAAACGATTAAGAATTAACATTCCTTCGAATGGTAAAGGAATGACTCCTTACCCATAACTTGAACAAGCCGATATAAATCTTGTTTTTGTGCACTGCCTGATATCCTTATCCTCACAAAAGAACCAACAACCTTGTCGTGAAAACTCTCCTCGTCTTCAATCAGATATTCCACCAAATTACGTCTTAAGTAAATTAAATTAATGTTGTGAATATCAATGGCTGCATAATCATCAAGGTTAGACTGGAGTCCTCTCTCATCACCCTTTTTCCGAGTCCTGCGTTTCTTCTCTTTCTTAGTCTTTCCTAAAGCATCAGTGTGCCCATCAGCCTCCAATTGACTTGATTCAGTATCAGCAACACTCCCTTGGAGGTCATTTGTCTGGGCATCCTCTTTGACGAGGAAGTGCGACTCTAGAAGCTTCAACATTTCAAAATGCCCCACACGTGGCTTTCCAAACAAATTTTCAAGTCTTGAATCACATATGATTTGACTTTTCCGCCGAGGATCACGAAGCTTATTTCTTTTAATATATTCTAACAAGAGAGCCTGCACATCAAACTGAGATAAAACAGTTTTATCACCGTTCCTCATGTGCATAACAAACTCCAAGAGCTCTTTAGATGCCCACTCAACATCGTTATCTGTGGATAGCCCTTGGGAATCAGGTATAATGGGCATACTAGGTGAGCTCATTTCCTTTGCATGAGTTTTTGACCTTTTCTTAGCTTTTCTTTTCTTGGAACTACTAGATTCTTCATTTTCAGAAACGTCCAAATCTGATCCTCCATCAACAGTACCATCACATAACTCGCCAGGTGAATCAGGTCTGCTAGTTAGCGTCTCAGATCCTTTGCACGGGTTCTTTGCATGAACAAGTTCATCAAAAGTTAGAGACAGACTTCCCTTCAAGTCTGTCCAGTACTCCTTAAAAAGATACTCCCAGCTATTTTTGTCATTAAAATCAATTTGGCCCTGCACAAGCACAAGAATGAAGGAATAAGCAAAATGACCTGCTGCAGTAAAACACATCCATGGTAATGCATATAAAAGTTCCCTTATTAAAACGTAGCTCTCCCTGCTTATACGCATTGGTTAGAATTAATACAAACGGAAAAAAATAAATAATCCCCAGAAACTAAGCCAAGACAACGATGAGTTATCTGGAGCCTATGTAATCTGATTTCCACATCACGGAAGAATTCAATCACATACATAGATATAATGGTCTTCCTTAGGAAGTAATCATAAAAAAGAAAGACGCAAGATTAATCCCATACTTCAATCATTTTGCAACCAAAAAGAAGCCCTTGGTTCTTTTCTTGCATATGACACCATTAACTTCAGCATCTATTGAAATCAACCTATTTTCCTATTATTCGATTAATTAACCAGAAATGCACGTGACATGCACAAGTTGCATCATATAATGTGAATACTTTGAACAAAAACAACCTTTTACTTTTGACTATGTAACCAACAAAATAGAGGTTTGGTAATAAATTGAAAATTTTGGCAAAATCACCAAAACCGAGTATATATAAAGCACTCTTTTCTTTCTACCCTAAAGGTTACCTAAATCTTAACTTGACCTCCTGTCCCCATATTTTTAGTTCCTAACGAGATAAAAAAACAAACCGACAACACCATCTCCACATCGAAGAGTTCACCACCAAGCTACGATTAATGGACAACGCCTGTATGATAACTGCAATTCAAATAACCCAAGTAACAAGCTGACACTTGAGAGATATCAAACAGAGTTCTGAGGAAAGTTGATGTATGGAAGTAATGACCATTAGAGGCAAGATCCACCTTCCAAATCTTTTGAAAGAAATTAATAACCATATACCTTTTCCATACTTCAACTAGTCCATGACTTTCTAATACATCATTTTCTCCCTCCCTTCCCAACACTTCTGCAAAATATAAGTTCCCGGCCATTTTATTTTAATTTTTTTTAAAAAAGAATCAGCTTTCATGGAGAGGAACTGAAAGAATATAAAAGGGTCACAAAAAACAGCCCAATGATCCAAAAACTAAACTAGCTATATAAAAAAATGGCTCCATCCAATCCAAGAGAATAAGGCCTAAATGACAGTTACAAAATTCCTTAGTAACATTGGCCCCAAAGGTGCATTAAATCTAGCACAAAACCACACCTCCTCCAACACCTCTAATCCCATTAAAGATCTTCCTATTTCTCTCGAGCCTAATCTCCCACAAAACAGCAAAAGAAGAAAAGCCCAAAGGACACTGTCCCTTATCACAAATCTAGGGATGGAAGTCCCCAGCCATATTTCATGGTTTTTCCGTTCTTGAGGTATAAGAAAATGCACAGCAGATAACACTAGAAAATGATTAAGGCACTAGGATTTACATGAATAAGGGAGATTCCTAATGACTTTTCAAAGTGTGGAAACTCTTGGACTGATTTATGGTCAGATTCAGATTATTTAATGCAGAATTTAACATGGACAACAAAGTTTGGTGATCTTGTCTCCCCATTATTATATTGTGATTGCCTAATTAGTACTTATGTAAAACTATTCCGTTCTTTCTGTTGTATGCTTGCTGCAAAAGAGAAGGTTCCCCTTCACTTTATTTGTCCAAAACGATAATGAGACAATGGAAATGCAGTACAATGAGTCAAGTAATGTTAGGAATTTATTAGCAACTAAGTACACCTGAACATTATGCATTTTTTGCACCAACAAAATGTAACATGTACCTTTTCCGTATTCCCCTGTTCATTCTTTTCAATCAACGTGACAAATCTCATGCATGCCTCACAGAAGCCTTTGTTCCCTCTAACACACAAAATAACAGCATTTTTTATGCAGCCCTTGCACAAGGAGAACGTACAGGTGTAACACATGTAGTGGGCAGACTTCTCACAGTTACTACAAAGGTGCCAACCTAAAATCATTATTAAAAGAACTTGAATGAGAACATAAATCAGTTCAGTTCACAAAGTAGACAAAATAGAGAAAAAAAAGTTTACTGCCCAGTTTAGAAGATTGTTTCAGATATTCAAAAGGCAAAGAGATGATGATAAGTTACTGACATAAAGGCATACAAGAAACAGCAACGCTTTATAAGTTGAATGATGGTCAGTCATTTTTATTTATGTTTCTTTGATAGGAAATAAGGTCAATCAATAATTTGTAAATAATTAGAAAGGGTTTAATAAAAAAATCAACTCTTGAAGCACACTTGATACATTATTAAGAAACTGAGTGAAAATCTATAAACTTTTTCTTTGGAAAAGTAGGCATTTTTTCATTCATTTAGTGAAAAGTACAACCCAAAGCCATACCCTCCCAATACAGGTGTACAAAAAAGAACACCAATTTCTGCCAATTACATTGAGAGTTAATTACAAAAGAATGAAGAAGAGCACCAATAATCTTTAAAAAAAAGTTATCAGAGGAAACAAAAATGATCGACTGCACACAAGAGCCATTGCCACAAAATTGAACTTCTGGTTGAAAAGATTGCAGGACCTTCATCTCTTCAGGCTACAGCCTTATTTGTTTCCTACACAAATGCTACATTTACCAAGTAAACCTCTGACTTCAAATTTTAAAATCAATATCTCTAGTTTCTATTATAATTTTAGTGTACAAGTTGAAATACATATATCCGAGAAGATTACCCGCACACCAGCCAGATACCTCCCCCCTTCCCCTTCCTCTGCCTTCGAAAAAACTCAAGTTATATTGAGGATAAGGAGAAGTGTTTTCAGTTAGGATAAGAAAAAAATGTCCAAACATCCTTCGGTGAAGTACGATGCTTTCCACTTCCAAGGCACTATTTTTAGCCAGAAAGTTATATCAACACATTTTAAGATCAGAGAGAACACTTTGGCTGGCTGATTAATTTGATATTCTTTGAAACATTTGGTTAGCGAGAAACATGAAGGTCTTCAAGGACACAAAGGTTCATATTTGATGTAGGTTTGGTTATACACACTCAACCCTCTTATCTTCAATTGAACTTTTTGTATTATCCTTTGTTTTCTATTCCTAACAACAGGAGTCTCCCGGGTCTCCTTTTGTAGTTTCTTCTCCCGAGACTCATTTTGTTTATTTCATACCTGTTTTTCATATTGCCATAATTCTTATACTCATATTTCTAAATGAAACTTGGTTTCTTGTGTCCTATCATTAAAATATTTACAACCATTTCCACTTCCACAGTACAAACTTATAAACACTAACTCTCCAACATTTTTGCATAGGTGATATAGTACAATAGATGAGCCTGGTTATTCCAAGTTTAGTAACCAAAGTTTCTCTACCTCCATTATTGATACAAAGAACATGCTGCAGCTGAAACTTCAAACCAAGCAACACCTATAACTAGGAAATCTTAATTGCTACAATTCCTGATTCCTGAACACTATAATGCATGTAATTCAGATGTCTTAAAACCTGCATGATAATAATCTGCAGCCATCTACACAAAGACCTTTATAAAACAAAGGATGATAAACTTTGGCGCAAGGACTTCCACTTTATTAAAATTTATAAAAAAACGAGTTCTTTTGGGTGGAAAACAAGAATCTCATTGAATACCAAGAAAGTGTAGAAGAGGGAAAAGAGAACATCCACGCAAACTAGCTAGCTAACGTGGTTAACAAAAAAAACTTTAAATACTACTTTGGTCCGTATACTTCAGCCTTGGTTCATTTTGGTCTCAATACTTTCAACTCTTGTCCATTCTAGTTGGTGTATTTTCAAAACGTTCATTTTGGTGCCTGTACTTCTAAAAAATTTCCTTTTGGTACCTCCATTTTCTTTTTTAACAGCCTTTTGAACGGTTTTTTGACACCATTGTTTTTTGGTTATATCTTGGTGTAAATGCTCTCCTCTCTTACACCCCTATAGCTTTTCAACTCTACTTTACAGTTGGAGAAGCATTCTTTAGCCCTCATATGGGCCTCTTTTGTGATCCCTCCTATGGGCCACTCTTGTAATTTCATACATCAATGAAATTGTTTCTTTTACACACAAAAAAAAAAAAAAAAAATCTTTTTTATCTCATTTATTTCAATCAAAATTTTAGCACAACACTACACATAATAAAATTTTTGAAACATAGTCATAACTTCGTATTAAAGGGTTTTCATAGTATATAGAATTTGTGTTAAAATTTAGCAAACATGGACCAAAATAGACACTTTCCCATTCGACCGTTTTTTTTTTTTTTGAAGCTATAGTTTATTAGTTGTCTCTTGGTGTAAAGGCTCCCCTTTGTTTCATTACTATAGCTATACATCCCTTTTAACCAATTGGATATGTTTTATGTAACTCCCTTCACTTGGCTTCCTCAACTTTTGTAATTTCATTCATCAATAAGATTGTTTCTTAAAAGAAAAAAGTACAAGACCAAAACGGACGTTTTGTAAGTAAAGAAACTAAAATAAACCAAAGTTAAAAGAAAGTATAGAGAACAAAATAGTATTTAAACCAACCAAAAAAAAAAAACTCTTCAAGTTAGTGCAATTTTTGTGAAAGGGAATAACTACAGAAATAAATAAATAAAAATCCCCAAAGAAGACCTTGACGAAGTCATAGAAACAGAAACCTCCCACAAATAAGATAATTATTTATTCCCTTACAAAAAGAGAAAAACAAAAGACCCTCAATCTCTATCAACAACTACCGAAAAATGACTTTCAGTTTCACCAAGTTGCAACAGAAAACTTCAGCCTTCTCATAAACCAACTGCCACCAAGGAATTGAATGAGGTCACTGAAGATTCTGGATGGAAAAAAATAATGCGCAAGTAATCTATCGGGAAAGTGGAAACCTCTTTTTCCCCAATATTGTCTCGGTCCAAAAGATCAATGAAACATCAGGAACACACCGTTAAAAAATGCAAATAACCATGTAAGAAAAATGAGTGACTCTTAAGAAATTGAGTACATTATAAGAAGCATAGGTAATATAGGACACCACATTACCACAATTCCATCGACCCTTGGCTCGGAAGAATGCCTCATCACGATTTATACAAGAAGGGTGATATGCCTTGGGACAACCCCTGGAACCAAGAAGAAAATTTCAACATACGATCTCAATAAAACATTGATTTTAGACGTCCCAGATAAACTAACCTGCGATCACAGAGCACAAGATTACCCCCATCAAAACAAATAAAGCAAACGTCCTCTTCCACCTTCTTTCTAGAAGGCGCTCTAGCTGGAGCTTTAGGATTCTTTCCACGTTTCCTTTTAGACCCACTACCACCTTTACTTAGCTCATCAACCTCCTCTGCCTCCTCTGCTGCTTCAGTTTCCTCCAACAAGTAAGTCATGTTTGCGTCAGTCTCCTCTGATCCAATCCCGTCATCCACCAAGTAAACCATGTCATCTGCCTCCTCAGTCTCTTCTGCCATTGCTATTTCCTCCACCTGTTCATTGTTGTCTACCTCATTTTCCATAGTTTCCACTTCGGCAGTGTAGTCTGCCACTTGCACTCCCCCCTCAGCCTCTGAAGCCTCCTCTACCATGCTCTCAATCTTTCCCACCTCGGCACTCTCATCAGCCACGCCAAATTCCTGCATCCCCGCTTCCCTATCTTCCACGTTCTCAATCTTTAACACTTCAATACCGTAGTCTGCTATGTCCACTCCCTTGATATCTCGGGTCTCATCTGCCAAATTCTCCATCATCATCACCACCTCGGCTGTCTTGTCTTCCATACACATTCCATCCAACTCAACAGTCTTGTCTTCTGCATTCTCCATATTTACCGCCTCATCGATCTCACCAGCCAAATTTGTCAGCCCCATCTCAGCCGTATTTCTCGAGAAATTCTCCATCTTCAACGTCTCACCAGTATTGTCAGCTAAATTAGTTGTCCGTCCCTCCTCCACCGCAGTCCCATCTACCAAACTAACTTTCAACTTGGAGTTCTCTGAAAGTGGAACACCTAATTCCCTATCCTCCGTCGTAGCAAACGTTTCTTGCTTTGGAACCTCCATATCATCTGCGTCCTCAGGCCCATCAGCATCCATTGCCACCTCTGTCTTCTCCGCCAAATTAGTGGCATCTGTAACACCTGCATCCTGCACAAAAAGAGTCGTTTCTGCAAGCGTTTCCACGGCCACAACATCAGTTGAGCGGGTCTTGCCGATTATCTCTGCGCAGCCAAGTGCAGCTGCGCCTTCCAAGACCGTATTCTCTTGAAAATTATCCATCAACGCGTTGCCCTCAACCCGATTTTCAGCCACACCAGCCAAAACCATTTCATGTAACAATTCACCGTCTGAAAAACCAGTAACAGCCTTCTCCTCCGCCCCTGCATCCTCTGTCACATCAGAGAAAACCCTTTGCCCCAATAACCCCGTATCCGCAATATCAGGCTCAATCTCTAACTTCACTGAATCTTCCGCCAAATCCTCGAGAATGTTAGGGAAAGCCTTCTCCTCTGCCATCTGCGTCTCCTCCATCACACCCTCCTTCTCCATCTCCGAATAAGCATCCGCAGCCAGACCCTGGTCTCCAAGAATTGCATCTCTGGGTGGTAAAGATTCAACGCTGCTATTGGGTGGCAACTCCGTTTCGATAATGGAGGACTTGAACACACAATGCTGTTCGTTGCTCTGAAGCTCCTGAAGGGCGTCACACTTAACACCAAAGTTGGCATCATCAACATAGAGAGATGATGTTTCGTCATGTTTCGTGGAATCGTCTTCTTCGGCTTCCATTAAGAAACAAAATTGGATTACAAATTAGGAAGGCCCAGAATTGAAACCCTAGGGTTTTAAGATCCACTTCCCCCACCTCTCCTCTGACAAAATTTATGGTCCAAGAAAAGAATTACGAGCGTTTGCAGAAAAATTGAGTTTCGCTCCCCTTCGAGGATTTGCCTTCGTGTTTTTCAATTTTGATTTTCCTTTTTCTTTGTGAACAAATATATTAATACAATATATAGCCCTGTAATTTAGCTTAATTACATATGCACCCTTATATAATCTCTAAATTAATATGATAAGTTTTGCCAATTAGTTTTTAATTATACTCCTGATTTTATTTTATTTTTTTATTTTTCAATTTAAACATAGTTTAATTGGTAAGATATCATTGACCAATAAATGAACAGACCTATTGAACTTAAAAGAAATATAATCACATATATACTTCTAACTTTTTATTTCATGTCATTCAAAAAAAAAAAAAATTTCATGAATCAATAGTTTTAAAAAGTTTGAGGTTGAATTATAAACTTAGTTGTTAAATCTTACCGTGTTTATTTAGATTTTATATTTAGTTTTAAATTTTATTTTGATGTTGAACTTTTGTGTTATATTGTTGGTGTGATTTCTTAAATGTTATTTGACTTTAAATGAGTTATTATTTATGTCAGTCACAAATTTAGTACTGGCTCAACCTTTGTCTCAAACCAATTTAGGTAATTTCAATACACTTCAAAAAAGTACAAATATTCATAGTCGTGTTAACTATTTGTCAAAAAACAAAATAAATATAATATAAGGATAAAAAGAATCATTTTATAGTCCGATGAATAAAGTACACGTGTTAGTAAAGACATGTATTGATTTTTTTGAAGTTGAAGATTTGAATTCTCACATCTCGCATTTCTTGTACTAGAAAAAAAAAATACACATTGAAAATTCAATGGCCAAAATATATACCAGAAAAGTCAAGGATCAAAATTGACATTTTGAAAGTCTAGGAATCAAAACCGATAAAATTACAAAATTCAAATATAAAAAAAATGAATTTAATCTTTTATATATATATATATATATATATATATATATATATATATATTACGACATGTAAGGGTAACAGTTTGAACTCATGACGATGAAGAGATGTAATTATCAATAAAATTCAACGTATAAATGTTTAATTGATTAAGACACCTATGCCTCACGAGAAGCTCAGAAGTATGAATCACCCCACTTCACATGTATTAAAAAAGGTATTCATACTCAGGACTGATCCGAGATGGGTGTTTTTGCTATGCTTAGGTTGGCTTATAATTACATTTTCAAACTATAAAATCATATAGTAATTATAATAAAATTATTTATTAATCTGTTCAATTAGCTGCCATGTCACAAGTTGGTCACAAATTTTAAAACTGTTTTCTTTAATTGCGGTTGGAACTCCAAAATGAGGAAGGTTTTTTTTTGCAAAGGAATGAGGAAAGATTTATAAAATGAATTTATCCCAATTCATTACACACTTTTCAGAAAACAAAAAAAATTAACATGATGGGTTCATATCATTAAAATTTAAAACGCCATAGTATTGAGTTCATGTGTTATCATATTTGATTATTGTCATATATTAGCGACATTCTTGAGAACGTCGAGTTAAAACACCTATATCAGATCAGAAGGTGGTGGGTTCAAATCTCCCAACCCCACATGTTGTCCCAAAAGAAATTAAAAATAGAATAGAATTTAATCTAACAAAAATACACTACATAGAGATTGGGCTTCAAAGTCTGCTACGCTTGCAAAAAATCAAATAACTAGTGTTTGAAATACGACATCTACAACTATTGAAAACATACCTTATGTTTAGAAATAAAATATGAATGTCCCTTCATATAAGTTAAAAGATACCAACACGAACATCAACATATTAAGATTGTTAGTCTCATTTTCGTACAAGTTCTCCTTATTTTCAAAAATCACATTCCATCCATGAGAAGAAACAGGCCTATAATCCAAATGTGTGATATGAGTAGAAGTTCAAAACTAGCATCTCAAAATGAGTCAACTAAATCAAGTTTAACAACTAGCAATTTCATTACGAGGAAAATCAACAAAACTACAGAATCATTGATAGGAAGTCTTATTATATAGAACCATGATCAACAATAATAATACTAAAAATTCATCGGTTGAGACCGCAAAACAAATGTTCAATAATAACATGAGCAAATACTACAATAAGCAAGTAGAGTAATTCTCTAGAGTTTAGTTACCCACTCGTCTAAACTCGAAGCAAAATCCGAAGGTCTAACCATGTCAAAGACATACGATTAGCTCTTTTGATCATCAGTACCTCCTGGGATAGCGCTCCATAAACCGACCAGAAGGGCATTCGTACGCTAGGTGCCCGCGTCCCCCGCAGTTATGGCAGATCATCAAGGGGCCCATGCAATCCCTGCTCATATGGCCAAGCTGCTGGCAGTTCCTGCACACAACGTCCCGATAACCACCACCGCTGCCGCCACGCACACTGCCACCGCCACTGCCAATGCCCCGGTCTACCCGGTCACTGAGGATGTTGGATTTTGGACACTGTCTGGCCACATGCCCGGATACATTACACAAGTTGCAAATTGGGTCATTTGGACAATCGCGAGCAAGATGGCCTGTCTTCCTGCAATTGTTGCAGGCCTTCTCGTTAGTACAGTCAGCTGCTATATGACCCTGCTTATAGCAATTATTGCACAGCCTCAAGTCCCCCGGTGGCAGCGGAGGAGCGGTGCATTCCCTAGCCCGATGTCCTGCCTTACCACAGGTGTGGCAGATGCCTTCATTGGGACAGCTATTTGCCATGTGACCTGGTTCTCGACAATTCCAACATAGTGATTTCGTTGTGCACTCTGAAGCAATATGCCTAGTAGATGCAGTATCGCAAATTTATCATCAATTGCAAGTTGAGCAATTAAATAAAAAGGGGGATCATTATATCCTCAATTCAATTTTGAATCTTGAACTCTAAACTAAGACTAGCAAAACTATTGATTTCAGTCTAAATAGATCAATTACTCCCAGCCATAAATAATTTTCACATCGAGTGGAATGGAAAATAACAAGTCACTTTTTGCAATGCCAGAGATGAGTATAATGGTAAATAGTTGGTTTAGTAAAAAACGAGTATTCTTATAAAAAAAAACATGAGTGTTCAAATAGCTATTCGAGGATGATAACCATAAGATCAAGTTTCCTTACCCAGGGAGACCACAATTGTGACAGATTGCCACATTGGGGCATTCTCGTGCAAAATGGCCAGGCCGCTTGCAGTTCTTGCAAAGATTGTCTCGACTGGCAATAAAATCAGATTAAGTTTAACAGCTTCAAGCAAGGAAAAATGGAAGATAAGCATAATCGATATATTAAAAATGGTCCTTCCATAACATTATAATCTCTGTCCACAATACCATGTTAGACCTCCGATCAATCAAGTGTCCATGCACAAGGGCAGGAAACTTGGGGACTTAAATTAGGATGCACTCCTAAGCAGTTATTTACTTTTGCTTTCTGTTTCTATCATCTTTTGTGCTTGTGTTAACTATCGGTTAGTTTGGTTAGTTTTTGTAAATAAGGGGTAAGCTAGTGGGATAGGTAGGCAATATTTTCTGGAACAGGTGTTCAATGTTTATGGGAGAGATACAATTAGTATTACATGGATATACATGTATGTCAGCTGTGCAGGAGACTTCCACGTATGCTCAAGCATGGTAAATGCAGAGATTTGTGAGCATGATCAAATAAAAAACATGCATAACCAGAAGAGTATAACAATACACAGCTACAAATAATTCATTTAAAAGATGTAGAAATATTTTAAGAAAAAACAAGATATTTATGGATGAATGACATATCTAAGAAAGGTAATATAGCCCCGCAGCCAAAGATGCATACAAGAATAAAATGACCATGACTGCATATAAAAAACACATCTGTTGATTATTTCCCCAGCCTGTGTATCAGACATGAGATAAATAAGTAATTTATCAGAATCAGAAACCTGAAACCCCGACGCGACTCTCTCCTGTACGGTGCATCACGATATGCAAAACGATCAGACCGGATCTTACGATCCAGTGGGCTCCTGCTCCTGCTCCTGCTCCGACTCCTGCTATCTGAACTCATTTCCAAACTTATCCTTCAATACTTATCCCCACTGATACGTGAAAATACCACCACCACCAAAATCACACAGATGCTGCCTCCTCCCTGTCCACACAACAACCACATACCCAAATTCATTTCCATGAATCCAAACCAAACTCTTTCTTTTCCCTTCAAATAGAAAACACCAAGTTCCAATCCCATTCAACAAAGTAGTAAAATTCCAACAAAGCAAACACCACATTCCCCCAACATCCGAGAATAATTATCCCCTTCCTTGACTACATTCTTCAAGTTCATACAGTTTCAAGAGGGTCTCACATACAGTGAATATTACCAACACATCACACCAAACTAAGAACATGCCCCCTAGTGGACAATCCACAAACAACCCCCACTAAAATTCATATTCCAGATTGCTACATCAACTTATTTCACTGTTATAACTATTAATGCGAAAGATGTCAATATTTTTTTTTAGAAATGTCACAGTTTACAACTAGCAATCCCACGAGTAGTTATTTTGGAAACAACTCTTCAACCAGTTACTTTCATTGCAGAAAAGGTAAAATTGTCAATTTGTGCAGCTGTTAGAGTTCTAGACCTTAGTCCCATAACAAGTCTATCCCAACAGAATGCTAAACACTACATTGATATGAACTGCATAAATATTTTTCTAATAGAAGCAAACACTAACTGACGAACTATTTACCACCACTGACGCCAATAATAACTACAACGGCCACAAATCATGAGATCTTTGCAGACATTATCAGTTGGCGTTGCACAAATTTCCTAACCGCAGAGAGAAATGATTCCAAAATGAACATTCATACACGCCCTTCGGTTCCAGCAAAAGAAAGAACACGATTCCCGGACGCCTTGCATAAACTCACTCAAGTAATCTACAGCGCTGTAACTTATTAATCATTCCCATCCCTACCTGTTCGTAGACCCGAAGGAAGATGAAGAAGCAACACAACGCATCGAGAAATCTTAAACACGAGACAGCATACAGAAAACTAAAACCATACTTCTCAATCCAATGTGCGTCTACATGAATTACAGACAATTAACGAAGGAATTAACCCTAAGCCTGTAGCCCTAAAAATGCAACGAGAGCATAAGTTTAGACTGAAAATCAGAGATGAAAGCGAGACGAACCTAATGCGAATGGCTGTGTGCTTCGGATCGATACGGCCGTAGCTCGGATGGATGAAGATGTAAGATTACGAACGAAGCTGAAGAACAAGGAGAAGATTCGCGGGAGAACAGCCGCTCGAGCCCGAAGATTTGTGAAGTTCAGACGAAGAGATTAGAGAAGATACAACAAATCGGATCGAAAAGGCAGAAGCCAATCTTGGGCCTCGTTTTGGCAACTGATTCAGCCCAAGAACCTTCTGCGCCTTTCTCCGGTCTTTACGTTCCTATTGGCCCGAATATTCGACTTTTTTTCTAGCAAAAAAATAAAAAGTAAAAAACATATTTATATTTTATAAAGCAAAATATGTATGTGTATATATATATATATATATATATTTTTTTTTTTTTTTATGCCAACGTGAGTGCAACTCGCTATTTTTTAGAGACTGAAATTGACTTTTTTTCTATCTTCAAAATTTGTTGTAATATATATATATATAATCGTTCTGTTCGAGTTCATGCCTAAAGTTTTGCAACGACCGTCACACCTTTCTATTCATCAAAGCCTGGCACTTGCCTCGACGGTCGGGTATAGGTCACATGCTTCAGCGCCATCCATTTTTCGGACTAGTTGATTTGGTAGGTGAGTTGTTACACACTCTTTAGTAGATTTCGACTTCCATGACCACCGTCCTGCTGTCTTAATCGACCAACACCCTTTGTGGGTCTAGGTTAACGTGCAGTTAGGCACCATAATTTGACTTTCGGTGGCCCACTTGGAGCTCTCGATTTCGTGGTATGGCTCAATAAAACAGCCGCACCGTCCTACTTATTTAAAGTTTGAGAATAGGTCGACGGCGTTGTGCCCGATGCCTCTAATTATTGGCTTTTTATATATATATATATATATATATATATATATTTATTTAGTTATTCTAATAAATTTAAAAATTGAATCTCAATTTTAAAAATCAATATGTTTAGTAATACATTTGTAAAATAATAAATAGAGTAGCCGCGCCGTCCTACCTATTTAAAGTTTGAGAATAGGTCGAGGCGTTACACCCCATGCCTCTAATTATTGGCTTTATATATATTTTTTTTAATATATTTATTCTAATAAATTTAAAAATTGAATATCAATTTTAAAAATGATACGTTTAGTAATATATTTGTAAAATAATTAGTTACCAACTAAATATTTATTTGAATCTAATATATTACTAATTTATTTATTAACGTATTAGATATTTTGTATAATTATTATTTTACAATATTATATAACTTATAATATATTGTATTTTACATATTTTAATGATGAAAAATAATACAAATAAAATGAATTTATAATATAAAATGAAATAGTATATTTAACAAAGTTATTTTTCTGTTCAAAAAAAAAACAAAGTTATTTTTATCTGTTTTTAATTTAGTTATGAATTTTAAAGTTTCAAATTTAAATTATATAAATACTGTAAAAATGTTGTTTCCATCTGATTTACACTATTTGGATCATGTACTCCAAAAACGTAAATTCTAATTATTGTACTTAAAAAAATACTCTTTTAAACAATTTTCTCCATTCTCGTCTTATTAATTTCAATTGTAAATTCTTTCAGTATATTTTAATTATAATTCTGCTCTTCACTCACTTTTTTTTCTCTTTAAATGTAGCCATACAAAAACTATAAGATTTATATCAAACATTAGAATCAAAACTTTTTAAAATATAGAAATCAAAACAAATATTTTAAAATTACAAAAATTAAAATGATAAAAATTTAAAGTATTGCTATCAAAATATAATAAATAGTCAAATCGAGCATAGTTCAAGTGGTCAAGACACCTATCTAAGAGGTCATGAGTTCGACTCCACTTCCACGTGTTGTATAAAAAAAAACTCAAAATATAATAAATATTTAAAAAGTAGAATAACAAAGATAAATAAAAGCGAAAAAAAGGTGGAAAATAGTATTTCAACCTAAATATTTTTTAAGATTTAGAATTGAATCAGACAATTTGAAATTCTAAGGAGCACAGTTGTAATTTAAGGGGAGAGGGAATGCAGAGTCCTTCAATCGTCGTCTCAGTTTCTTCTGCTATCTACTCATAAAGCTGCCCTTGCTAGATACTAGATAGATTGCCTGCAATTCCGCTCATCTCCAGCAAAATTAGGGTTCGATTCTGTGAGGTTGGGTTCTCTGATCTGTTTCCTTTTCTCTTTCTTTCTGTTACATAGAAATCACTGCCATGATCGATTCAATTACAGCCATCTATCTCATGTTCATGCCGCCTGAGGGTTTTTTGTCGGCTATGCAGTAGATTAGATTCACGGCTCACTTGCTAGTTTCTTGTTTTAATTTTATGATAATCTATTGCATTTATAAGGTTTTCGATTCCGTTCAGAAGCATGAAGTTTTAGGAAGTATGATTTACTGATTTGCAGTGTTTGTTTCAGTTCATAGAAACGTTTTGTGAGTTTTTCTTAGTTTTAAGCTTATAGTAATCAATGAATAAATAGAGAAGAGAGGACAGGGAAATTTTGGCCTTTAAGTCTTAGCTGAGATTGCTGGGTTCCTAGATTAATCTCTCACAGAATCACGGGAAATTTTTTAGACCTGTGGAATTGGTCTTTCTGTCTTGTTTTGATCCGTTTTTCCCTCTTCACTCAGAGAAGATGATCATTAATGAACCTGTCCTTCATTTTTTACTTACTATTTTCATTCTGCTTCTTCAAATTTAGGCTCTATCAATTTCCTCTCCCTTGCCCTTGTTATTATTGCTTTATTTGCTTTGGTATGGATTGACTGTGACTGGAAGATTTTGACACCTAGAAAGAAAGTCGGGATAAACCATAGTTTTGGTACTAAGCCTTAAGTAGAACACAGACTTTCTATATTGACATCTTGTCATTAACTAAATTATAAGATCCGAGTTACCAAAATTTTAGCATAGCTCAACTGATTAAGCCATATATTCTTGACAAAGAGGTTAGAAGTTCAAATCTCCACCCCACAGTTGATGAACTAAAAGGAAAACCGTAGGATCTGGGTTGTTTTTGTGAAATGAAACTAGTAGAGAGTTACTTGTTGTTACACAGATGGATTGATTTATTTATTTTCATGTCCTTAAACATCAAAGTATTTCTGATAAGTTTATACCTTTGGTTGTATGGAACAGCATGGTTGAAGAATCCATCTCTTCTTATCTCGACAGTAGACCGGAATCTAAAGAGCCAGTTGATGCTCTTACTCCTGAAGACATTGCTTGGGTTGATTCTTGTCTGATTAACGAGACACCCGATATTTCTGATGGGAATTGGAACAATATGAAGTCTGCCTTATTGGAAATCCTCGATCTGTATCCTGAAAGTTTTGCATCTTCTGCTGTATTAAGTGATAATGCTCCGGGAGGTACTAAAGATGACATTGACATGCTTCCCTCTAATAATGAAAAGGAATCCATATTTCCCTGGGGAGATGATGATGATCCTATGAGCGAACCAGGAATAGCTTCGGAAGATCCACGAGACCATGACGATATCGATACATCTCTGTCGTTATCGTTTAGCAAGAATCCATTTTTACCCACTTACAAAGAAGATGTAGGAGGGAAGGAGAATACTCAAACTGGATCCAGCCAGGATTTATCAGAAATTGGATATGAGTTCCCAGTAAACGATATTTTCAGGGTCTGGGACTTGAACCTCCCTCCGGTCGAAGATGAGCTTCTCGAGCAGCTTAACAAAGCCCTTTCCGAAAATTCCTTTAAATCACTTCCTTCAATGTGGGATAATCGTAGTGTCTTGAAAGACTTCAAGGAAGAATCACTTGATGACTTGATCAATAGCATTTCAGACCTGTCTTTAGAACAGAATAATTAGTAGGGACAGAGTTGTTCAACAGCCCTTGATTTCTGAAAGTTCATGCTGCTGACACGTGGCATTCCGTTATTTGTCAACTTTGGATGTCTCACATAGGAATAAGGGTGATTTTAGAGAAGCTACTAGGAGACTTAGATGATAGTTCTACAATCTGTTATTATTTTTGGCTCAGTGCAGTCTAGTGGGATATGTAAGTACCTTTTTTCTCAGAATCTTATTGACCATTTTGGTTAATGACGACGTTATAGTAATTAATAGGTCTAATTGGCTGTAAAATTTGATTTCGTTTTTGTGAAAGTAGGTGGTACTATTTATGTTGAATCAGATTTATACCAGCAATTATTTCTAATTTTGATTAATTAAAGTAATCTCATGTAAATACCATGAGATAAGGTTTGATCAGATTCGGGAAATATTTCATTAGAAAAAAAAGAGTTTAAAAATAATTGATTTTTTTTTTAAAGGTTGGATGCTGTTACTAAAAATTTAATTTTTAATTCAACTATAATTTTTAAGAAAACTTTTCATTTGTTTCTTTGGTATAAAAGTTTATTTTCCAACCATGGCTAATATCTTCTATTTTTTTCGAGTACAATATGTGGGGTGGGAGATCGAACTCACAACCTCATAGTTGGAGGTATATGCCAATTATCGTTGAGCTATGCTGGTTTTGACGACTAGTATCTTGAATGATTAAATAGTTTAAATAACTATTACAAAATTATGCATGAAAAAAATTTAACTATTGAGTTTTGTAAAATAGTACTGTTTACTCCTTAAAAAAAGGTTATACATTTCTTTTCCAAGAGAACTGTTATTATTTTGGTTACGTTAGCTATGTAAAATTGATAACTTAAATGGCAGTACTTTTAGTTTCGGTTTATTTTGGTTTCTATATTTTAAAAACGTCTATTTTGGTTTTTATACTTTCAATCTTTTCTTCCATTTTAGTCTTTATACTTTTGAAGTATTCGATTTGATTCCTATACTTTTAAAAAGTGCATTCTTGTTCTCTCCATTTTATTTTCTATCTCATTTGTTATATCACAATTTTAGCACGACACCACGTGCAATCAAAATAAATACTTTGAAAGTACAATAATCAAAATGAACTAGAACCAAAAATACAGAAGTCCCTAATATTAACCAAAAGTAGAGGAAGTCCCTGTCAAGGATCAAAAGAGTATTTAAACCTAATATTAATCATCTTTATACTTGTAACAGTTTTTAAAATTAATTTAATACACTTTTATTATCAATATTTCTTAATCTTTGCTTTCATTTTTTTCCCTTGATTAATGGAATGATCGTTGAACCTTTGAAAAGAAATGATTGTTAAAGGATAACAATAATTAGCAATTATAAAACCTAGCATTAGCCCAATTAAACTAGCCAAAGGCATTGTTTGCAGCTTGAGAATTACTATTGTTGGAGGATAACGATAAAAACTAGCTTSACCAATCAATTCAACTTGATGACATTTAAATAATTTATTTAACAGTGAAGGACATAGCTGAACGGTAATTGACATATATCTATAAAGAGGCCGTGAGTTCGATCTTCCACCCCAAAAAAATTATTTAACCAAAAGGAGAAGACTAACTTACTATTGAAGCCAAACTGAGACCAGCCGAACCAAAGAATCACTCAAGTTCTCCTCAACCGATTTGAGGATGTCGACCTTAGATCTGACAATCCGTAACCGTCCTAACCACATATTGGAACGGTCCTAACGGGCTTGTCCCTCAACTCTCCCTGTAAAAGGAATGTCACTTCTCCGACTCAGGTACGCAATTTTATCTCAGAAGAACCTATTGATCTTGAGTCCTTATTTACTTGAGCGTCGAAGTGTTTGTTCTTTTTTGTGCAGATCACTCATTACACACCTTGCTTCTCTGTAGCTCGATCAGATTCGTTGGAAGTTGATCTTTGTGGCTCAGCAAAATTCAACATCAACATTGTAATTTAGATCATGAGTTTCATACCCACCATAAATTGAATATATATATATAGATATATATTATATATATATATATATATAAATTTAATTATGTTGGTATCATGTAGTTTTTCTTGTATCATTATTTTAAGCATGTGAATTTGAAATAACAACAGCAACATTTCTAACGAAGATTAATTATTTCATCATGTAAAAAAATCTCAACAATGATTTATCTATTTTGATGATGTATATATCAAATAGGATCCAAAAGAAACTAAATTGAGCCTCGTCAGTGCAGTTGGATTTAATAATATTGTTTATAATTATGTCTGATTGTATACTGTTTGATATAAAATTACAAAAAAAAAAAAGAAAGACATTAAATCTATTCAATCCAATTAAAGTTTTAGTAAGTCCATAATTATTTGTTTTTATTGTATATATAGTAATAGGGAGTGTTGAGAAATAAATTGCATTGTTATATAGAGTATGTGATAGATTTCGTTCGATTTTCTCTCGTTAAAGGAGGCAAAAAGAGTATACATAATGGATTTATAGTAGTTCGATCTTAGAAAATGGATATTCAATTATAAGAGATGGTCAATATCATTAAAAGAGATTGAAGAACACAATAATGAACTAAATAAAATAAATAAACGACATAACCGTAATCAAACATCATCAAACTAGAGTCGCGACATTTAATTTTTTTGCATAATAATTTGGAACATGAAAAATGAAATGGAGAATGTGGCAAGAAAATGGATATTCCATTAAAAGAGATGGTCGATATTATTAAAAGAGATTGAAGAATACAATAATGAAATAAATAAATTAAAAAAACGACGTAACCGTAATCAAATATCATCAAACTAGAGTCGCGACAGTTAATTTTTTTTGTATAATAATTTGGAACATGAAAAATGAAATGGAGAATGTGGCAAGAAAATGGAGAATATAGTAGTCAATGGGCTTCCAAACCCAAACAAATAAATGAGACTTAAATCTGAAAAATATAAAATGGATTGGCAATTTATATTATATTTTAAAAGTACCGAGACCAAAATAAACAAAATTTGAAAGTATGCAACAAAAATGGATACTTTGAAAATACAATGACCAAAATGAACAAAAAAACTAAATATACAAGGACCTACATACAAATATGAATAATAAAAAATCGATGCATAGAATTTGAAATTATTCGAACTAGATTATTCTCTTTCACTATATCTAACGTTTTATAGTTTTGACTATATTATAGTTCTGTTTTTGTTTCTTTAATGAAATATGATAATGTCCTAACACAACATAATCGTAAGATTAGATGTATCAAGAGTAATTAAAATGATGAATAAGAGACTTTTATGGGTTGATACTTTTAATATAAAGTTAAATCATATGATAATTTTCTTAAGCTCTTCCATGTTGATTTAGTTAAACTCGTGGATGTTTAATCTTTCTCACTTTTTAAGAGAACAATTAAGAAAAAAAATTTGTGCACATGTTAAATAGGTAAGGTTCTTTTAGGGGGCGACCAAGTTAAGGTTAATTTTGGCTAAAATACTTGGGGATTGGAACAAAATGAATCAAAATATTATGTTTTAATACTCCAGGAAACTAAATCGATCAACAAAATTATTTTAAAAAGAGAAAAAAGTTGATCAACAAAAATAGTTTAAACTGACTTTTTCTTAGTTCGAAAGATATAAGTGCTTTGGTCGATCTGATACTTAGTTAACTCTTTGATCTTTATGTTCCCACTATACCCTAATCGATAAAGAACCTGAATGCCTTTTTTAGATCCAATTCCATCAATTTTTGTTGAGGCAAGCAAAAATTACAGTAGGGATCATAACAATTACTTCTTAAAAGTACATGATCAAAATAGACATATCGAAAATACAATGAAAACGAACATAAATTAAAGCACAATGACCAAAATCATAATGACGTTGCACTAAAATAAACCATACCCGAGAGTACATAAAGTGAGATTTTGAAATGGGAAACCAAAAATAAGAAAGTAACAAAATTAGGGTTTGTTGAGATTGGGCGCAATCTCCGTACCCAACCAACAACCACATGAAAAAATAATAACAAAGGCTTCGAATTTGGGGTTCACAAGCTGCACGTCCAAACCAAACATGCCCCAAATGATGCCTATTGGAGAACCACTCCTTTCCCATCTTTCTAAACTTAATCAATTACTCTGCCAATTTCTTTTTTTAATATTTACATTTTTTTTAATACTATTTCGATCTCTGTATTTTTGAAATGTTCGTTGTTGGTCTCTATACGATCGTTTTGGTTTCTTCATTTGAAATGAAGCTATAACTTTATAAGAAAGAGCTTTCGTCATGTGTTGATGTCGTATTAATTAATATTTTGCAAACAGATACTAAAATTATCACTTTTTACATGGTCTCAGGTAGACCAAACTTGGGAGTAGAATGATTAAAATTGACATTTTAAAAGTAAATGAACTAAATGAACTAAAGCTTTAAGTATAATAAGGATCAAAATTGTATTTTAACTTCTTTTTATTTTAATTAATTGACATATAAATCTAATCCAGAGGTTTGTGAGTTGGATCTAAACTAGTAGTATTTTTGTCTTATCTAGCATTATTGTAGTGCATGCTCACAAAAGCTACCTGAAGTTGGTCAAAGTTTCAAAATAGATTTTGTTAAAATAAATAAAATATTATTTAAAAAAATTAAGGATAGTCACTTACCTTATTGATTAATTCACATATATTTTCTAACACTAAATGTTGTACGGTCAGTTGTTTCATGAAATATTGAGATGAGTCGAGACACGTGCAAGCTGACTCAGGTAGTCACAGATATAAAAAAAATCATTTTAGGATTAAAACATAATATATTTGAATTTTTTTCTATTTTTATAAAATAGATGGATGAATGACAGCTATAGTTGTTTTAATTGTATTTTTTAAAATTTTAATTTAATTTAATAATAATAGTTATTATTATTATTATTATTTTTCATTTGCACAGGAAATTCTTAATATCTTGATCTCTCACTTTATCCAATCCAATACTATACAAAACAATAATTTATAGAGATATTGACTAAGTTTGAATATAAGATATCTAGTTACAATTTTGTTTTTGTTTTTTGTTTTCCTAATTTTATGTTTTTAAAAGTTAAAGACTATTTTTCTTGCTTTTTTTTCAAATATTAGATATATTATAATATCAAATATTCACAATCTGAAATTCACCCATAGGAACAAAATGATGTTTTTATTTTCTTTACTTTATTATTTATATTCTAAAAAAGAAACTAGAACCTAATGTCTAGTTTTAATAATCATTTCACTTTTTGTTTTTTGTTTTTAAAAGTTAAGCTGATGTGTTTTTATAGACATTTTAAAAATTTAATATTAAGAAAAATAATATTTATTTTTAAAATTGGGTTAAGAATTCAAATATTATTTACAATAAAATGGAAAACTTTTAGCAATGAACTTATAAAAAATAAGCATAATTCTTAAAAAAATAAACTAAAAATGAAATGGTTATCAAATGACACTCAAAAAATTTAGGCGTTTGATAGTCATTTCATTATTAATTTTTTGTTTCTAAAAAGTAGGTTTGTTTATTTACAATTTTCTTAATATATTTTCACATTTTTTAATAAAACAAATGTGAATTTTTAGCCCATTTCTAAAAACGAAAACAAGTTTTAACTTTTTTTTTTAGTTTTTAAAATTGGATTTATATTTTAAAAAGTAGGTAGCACAATAAAAAAAATATAAAGATAAAAGTAATATTTACAAATTTAATTCTAAAAAATATAAAATTAAAAACGAAATGACCGAATAAAAATGAACCCTACTCGGAGTCTTAATCTATCTTTTGAGTTATTTTTGTCAACCATAACCATTTGTCGTTGTCCAAAATATTAAAACCAAATGTCAAATGCCTTATAATAGCTTCGTAATAAATGGAAAATAAAAAATTCTCTTCATTTTTCCCTCTCTACCCTTGATTGTGATTGGCTAGGGATGTTAAATCGTTAGATCGAGTACGAAATGACGTTCTTATCCCTTTTCCAATCTCCTATGATAAAATATAACAAAATACTTTTAAAAACTTATTAGGCTAAATATTACATATGGTCTCTCATTTTGTAGGTGATTTTCAATTTCGTGAATAAATCTTTTAAAATTTTTAATTTTACTCCAATGTAATGAAAATTCTCCATTAATTCAATAAAAAATTGTTAAATCTTATTGGCATAAATTAATATATCATTGGATTACTGCTTTATTAATATATTTGAATTCGTGAATACGTAGCTACATGACACATTAAACACAACTAGGTCATCTGTTAAATTAAATCGGTCAATCAATAAATTTCGAAAGACTTATTAGATACAATACAATCTTCAAGTTCAATTACTAGAAATGTACCATTTGAAAAATATTTAAATATACTTTTGATCTAATTTTTGTTAATTTTAGTTACGTTAGTAATAACCACTGTAGGTGGCTAAAGAATGGAAATCTTTAAATACAAATTTATACTTCATTTCAAGAAATTTAGTAAGTAAAATATCATATTAAAATTATGATAAAATCAAACAAGATAAAAATGAAAATGAATGGACAAAAAATAGAAGTACAAAAAATTAAAACAAACAAAATTTAAAATACATGAAATAAAATCGAAAATGTATGTGGTATTTAAATAAATAAAAAAAGAAAGAGAAAAAGAAAAAAGAGTAAAAAAAAAAGCTCGAGGTGCTATCAGTATTTATTATGAATTTGTCAGCTTTGTCACACTTCTCTTTCTATTCCGCTCCAACCAACGACTGGTTCCCCCACAGATCTAACGGTAGAAAACAGCAACATAGGGAGCACCGCTGACACGTGGCGCCATATCCACGCACCTCTCGTCTTAATTTTTCCCATCCAACTTTTTTTTTTCCTCTTCTGTCACGTGACGCTCCAGCTTTTGGATCACAGAGGGAATAAAAGAAAGATAGTGAGGGCATTATCGTCATTTCGCCCATTACAGTGGAGGGGCGGTTGGGGAAGAAAATTTCAACTTTCTTGACTCAGCATCGGCTCTCATTTCCTGGCACCGCCCGTTGCCTTCATCTGCGTTTCCTCTCCTCCCCGAGACAGCGACGGCTCCGCCGTGAAATACCGGAATCTGCGGCGTCTCCGGCCTTCGCATTCCGCTTCTGCTTGTCTACCTCGGCCGCTGGACGTTGCAGACTCGCCATTGTTACCGTTTCATGTAGCTCCGTCCGGGGATTCATCTCCACCTTTCAATGTTCGGTACATTTAGTTTCACCTGCTTTTTTTTATTTTTTGTTCTTCTTCTTTAATCTCTCTCACTCTTTTTCTTTATTTGTTACTCGGACGCTTTATTCCACTCGTAAAGCTTCCTCGTCTTCTCCAATATACTCATCCAACTTGCTCTGAAGCTACGCCTTGAATCCTTTTCTGCGATTGCGGTTCGAGTTTGCGTAGCTGATTTTCCATATCGGAGGAATCCGCGGAATCTCGTTTCATTTTCGATGGTTTAATTGTCCACTGGCTGCTCGTAATTTGTTACTTGTCAGCCATTTTCGTTGGAAACCGCTACTGCATTCGAATTTTGCTTTGAGTCGAAGTAAAACAAAGAGTTCTAGAGTGCAATTATTTTCGAGATCGGAATTTTAATATTCTTGCTTATTTGGGGATTTGATGAGGATGAGCTAACCGTTAGAATTGTATATTAACGCTGTTGCGTAAACCATCTAACCGTGCAACATTCCTCGTGCATTTTGATACGCACATTGTGAATAGTATCTAATTGGGAGTTTTTTCAGTTTTTTAACGTTATTTAATATTGAGATTGTTTTCTTAAAGTGCACGAGGCTTGAAGACGACGAAAAGCGTAGCAGAGGCTTCGGATCAGACCGAGACGGCAGAAAAGAAGAAAGGAAAAAGGGGAAATTTTAGAAACGACGGCGTTAGGAGGATCGCATTCACTTCTCGAGCAAGCAGGCAATTGCATTGGATATCTGAACCGCATCGCTGTACCGAATGGATACATCGTTTTCGGCGACGGTTTTCTGAAAAGACAGACGATTCGACAGTATGTTTATTTTTTTTTCCTCTCCTTTATTTTAATTTTGAAAATTCACGGTACCAGTAACAGATGAACATACCTTATCGTGAAGAGCGATAATGAAAATACAAAGAAAATAACGTTCTGATGGTTGGATGACAATGCTTACTCCTTTTCAAATTCCTCGAAATTGTCCGTAAGCTT